CAGGGGAGGGGGCGGAGCTGCAGAGGGCCAGGTCAGACTTGAACTCGCCAGGGGCGCCGAGGGGGATCGCAGAGGCAGCCCCCTCGTGCACCGCGGCAGTGCCGGCTGGCGGAGACCAGCCGCGTCGCGGGCAGACGTTCCATGATGTCTCGGCCGCCGCGTGCTGAACCCACAGAGACCGCATTGTACGATGAGCGCTCGCACGAAAGGGCCAGCGACGGCGAGCGACCCCAACGGGGCGTCGCCATCCGCGTGGCGGGCCGACAGCCTGCGCCACGTAGAGCGTGTAGGAGTCAGCGGGTGGGCAACGCCAGCCGCGCGGCGCGGAAGGGCGGGGCGAGCGGTCGGCGGACCCCACGGGGGATCCGAGGGGGGACTCGCCCGGGCAGCGGGGCCGCTGGAGGCGCCAGGATGGCCGCCAGTGCGACCACAAAGCGGTCCAGAGCCGCAGCGGAGAGTCGGTCTGTGGTCCTCTCGGTGAGGCGTCGCTGTTGATCCATCCGTCGGGGAGGGGGCCGGGCACGACTGGACACTAGGCAACAAGCGGAGCGGCAGCACGTGAACGTCGGGGTGAGGCGACGCCCACAACAGAAGAGAGGTGGCATGAACGGTCCGCGACTCTCGCAACGAGGCCGTCGCTTCTGATCCGCCGACCGTGTGAGAAGGCGCACGAGCACCCGGACGCCGAGGGCGGGCAGATCCACGCGCCGCGGAGTGGGCGCCGTGTAGAGCGCGCCCGAAAAGGGCCACGCAAGGGCGAGGTGGCGACCAACAACGGCGAAGTGCGGCGGGCCGGGTGCCCCGCACCTTGGGAGCGGGCAGTCCCAGGAGCCCCCCGCTGGGCGCGCGGAGCGAGGGCCGCGGCCGCAACGACGCGGCGGGGGAGCGGCGAGCGGCGGGGCCGGGCAGGCGCGGAGGCGGGGGCGGGCCAGCAGACCCTGGAGGGCGCACGGCGAATTGAGAGCGAGGGGGCGGACGGCCAACGATCCTCTCGGCGAGGCCGTCGCTGTTGATCCTCTGGTTGGGTGAGGCGGGCGACGGGTCTCGGAAGCCGCAGGCGGGCAGGTCCGCGCCAGGCAGCCAGGAAGCCAAGCGTCGCAGAGGCGGAAGTAACGCGCGCGAGCAACCGCTCACTCAATCGAGATTGCTGGCCCATCGGCGGTGCAACGAGGGCTGGGGCTGTCGGGCGGTCTCCGTCGAGGCTGCCGTAGCACTGAGAGAGAAGACCCACGACGCTGGGCCCCTCAGGGCGGGGTGCCCCTTGCACTCGACAAGGAGGGCGGCCCCTCGTCGTTTGCAAGGCTGTGGCGCACGTGGGCTTCCAGCAGCACTTGCTCGGACGGCGGCGGAACCACAGGGCGGAGCCAACGCTCGCACTGGTCCCTGCGGTCCATGTAGAGCTCGTGGACTGTGAGCCCGCTCTCGCTGGGCCAGGGAAGGATGAAGACAGGGCCAGCCGGAGTGGGGCGGCGAGCCCGTCCGCTGAACTCGACAAGGCCTCTGCGAAGGCCGCGCGGATCTGGGCAGCGGTGGGCCCGCTGGGCGGGCAGGGGGCATGTGGCCCGCGGCGAATGGCGCGTCGGCCGCCCTGGTGGACTCAGGGGCGGACCTGCTCCGGCTGGAGGCGATCTGCACTGCCTGCATCCTCGTGCAAGTGCTGGGATGCAGGGGCGTAGGGAACGGAAGATGGGTAACTCCGTTCCAAGACAGGGCAGTGACAGCGGGTGCAGCGGTCGCGGGATGGTGTCAAGCACTCCCCACTTCAAGCCGCACCCTGGGCAGCAGAACTGGGTGCAGTGGGTGCTCTCTGCGAACTGAAACGGCAAAGCAACCAAAGGAGAGGTGCTACCGCTGCGGAGGCGAGTGGCTGCCTCCGTGAGGCCATCCTGGGGCCATGTTGGCCCAGAAGTCTCCCAAGGATGCTCCCGAGATGGGGAAATATTCGAATAATTAATATTGCAAATTCTGCAATGACTTTGAAGTTTGAGCGAAAGTGGGGTTCTCAATTACGCCTGCTCCTCTTCAGCCCCTGAAAGCGCCTTTCGGGGCTCTCATCGGGCGTTCCTGAAATGCTCGTGTGCGCTCTTAGGGCCGCCTTAGGGCCCTCTTAACCCCCTTGGAGCCACCTTGAAGCTTCTAAGGCCCATCGGAAGCGAAGCGGCGAGTAGGCGAACACGATTGATGTTCTAGTAGTGATGGACGGATGTTGTCCTCTTGGGGGCCTCCTTGGGAGGCTCCGTGGCCACTTGAGGCTGTCTTGGAGAAGTCGTGGGGTCTCTTGGAGGGATGTTGGAAGCCATCTTGGGCGATATTGCGCTATCTTGGACCGCCTTGGAGGCCACATTGCGCCATCTTCGACGCTCCAACTATTCGCGATCCCCTCCATGTCGAGACCCAGGGGGAGAGGGGAGGGGGAGGGGTCAAGCCACCCCCTCCCGAAGGACGGTCGTCTCGCTCACTCCCACCCGCCATCCAGCCACATCAGGAGCACCCGAGTCTCAGCACGACCAGGGGCCGCCATCGGCAACCATCGAGATACACTGCAGACGCCAGCCAGGTGCGCGACGGCCACGGTGCGCCGCGCGTGCCCGGGCACCTCCATCATCCCTGCCAAAAGCAACGTAACATACTCTCGGGGCGCCCGCGCAGTGTCCACAGCGTGCACTTTCCATTCGCATGTGGCAGGGATGGCGGGCCTGCGCACGCTGGGCAATATGATGGCCCACCCCCGCCGCCCCGGTCAAAAACCATGTAAAATGATCGCGGGGCGCCCAATCATGATCCAGATGTGTCCGCAAAGCGTATGATGTGATGCTTTTGGCCGGAACGGTGGGGGGGGCAGCATTGTCCCTGGTTTGTCGAGAGCCCAAGATGGCCTCCAAGACGGTTCAAGATAGCGCAATGTCGCGCAAAATCGCTACAAACAGAAACCACTATGCCTTCAAGAGGCCCCAAGACACTCCCCACCCCAAGACGCCCTCAATTGGCCACGGAGCCTCCTAGGAAGGTCCCCACGAGTCCAAAATCCTTCCAAAACCTGAACAAGAACAATGAGTTGTTGCCTGCTCGCCTTTTCGCTTCCGATGGGCTCTTGTGGCCTCCAGGTAGCTCCAAGATGGCCCAAGAGATCCCGAGGAGGGGCCCAAGGAGGGCCCAAGATGCACCCAAGAGCGCCCAAGTGCGCTCCAAGAGCACCCCACCAGAGCCCTAAAACGCGCTTCTGAGACTTAAAAAAAGCAGGCGTAACTAAGCAAGCACCCCCTTTCTTTGATCGATGCTATCCAAGATGGCCTCAAGAGGACCTCCGGAGCCCCCAGGAGGGCCACAAGAAGGCCCCAAGAAGGCCCGAAAAGGGCCCCAACAGGGCCCCAAGATGGCCCCAGTCAGCTGCCAAGAGGCTCTCATGTCGAAAGATCCGCGAAGACTTTACAGCTGACTCCTGGGCATCGTCAGGCAGATCCCGATGTTCGGTTGGACCGCTGCCCCCCCCATCTCTGTACCACTGAGTGCTCCCGCACTTCCCCAGGATCAGTCAGCACCGAATGGGCAGATCAGATCGGACCGAAATGTGCATCGGATGGGGCTGCAGCGGCGCGGAAGCGAAATCGAATCGGATCGGCTGAGACAGGATGCACAAGAGCGCCATGCAAACATCGGGCCGCATCGGATCGTCGGAATATCGGAATCGAATAGAATCGGGCCGGCCAGAGCCGTTATCAATCGGATCGATCGGATCGAAATGGAGCCTGCCTCCCTGATCAATGCAACTCGCCTGGGCATCTTTGCCGGATGGGCTCGTGAAGATTCGCGAAGAGTCGGGAATTGCACTAACTCCGCAATTGAACCGCTCCAGGCTGGACCAGACAGGACAGCACGCAACGCGACACTCGATACAACGCGTCGCCACACAAAAAAAGAAATCCGCCGATCCGGCGTGTAAGTTTCTGAGAGCGTGGGCTTGAGCTCGCTCAAGCTTCGCTCTGCCGAGGGGGGGGACCTCATTTCCGACCTATTTCCGACCTATTTCCGACCTAATTCAGTGCTTCGCCCCACCCCCCCCTCCAGAGCGGACCCCCCCCCCCCCTGCAGAGCCGGCGTGTGAGTTTCTGAGAGCGTGGGCTTGAGCTCGCTCAAGCTTCGCTCTGCCGAGGGGAGGGGGGACCTCATTCCCGACCTTTTTCCAACGAGACGCTGCACCTGTAGGTGTGGTGTAATTTTTATTCAGTGCTTCGCCACAGCCCGCACCCTCCAGAGCGACCCCCCCCCCTGCAGAGCGCCCTCCCCCCCCCTCCTGCAGCCCAGCCCCCCCCCTTGCAGAGCGGACCCCCCCCCTGCAGCCCCCCCCCCTGCAGAGCAGACCCTCCCCCCCTCCCCTGCACCCCCTCCCCTGCAGAGCAGACCCCCCCCTGCACTCCCTCCCCCTGCAGAGGGCGTGACCCCCCCCTGCAGAGCGGACCTCCCCCCCCCCTGCAGACCAGCCCCCCCCCCCCTGACAGAGCGTACCCCACCGCTCTCTCCTGCATCCCCCCCTGCAGAGCAGACCCCTCCTCCTGCAGCCCCCCCCCCCTGCAGAGCGGTCCCCCCCTCTCCCCTGCAGCCCCTCCCTCTGCCGAGCGGACCCCCCCTGCAGAGCAGACCCCCCCCCTGCAACCCAGCTCCCCCCCCGTCGTCGTCGTCGTCGTCGTCGTCGTCGTCGTCGTCGTCGTCGTCGTCGTCGTCGTCGTCGTCGCGTCGTCGTCGTCGTCGTCGTCGTCGTCGTCGTCATCGTCGTCGTCGTCGTCGTCGTCGTCGTCGTCGTCGTCGTCGTCGCTCGCGTCATCGTCGTCGTCGTCGTCGTCGCTCGCGTCGTCGTCGTCATCGCCGTCGTCGTCGTCGTCGTCGTCGTGGTCGTTGTCGTCGTCGCTCTCGTCGTCGTCGTCGTCGACGTATTCGTTTTCGTCGTCATTTTCGTCTTCCTCGTCGTCGTTCATTTCCACAGGCGCCCGGAGCGCCCCGGATAGGCGGCACTGGCCGGAGGCCACTACAATATGAAAAACATGGCATGAGAGCGACAGCCCAAGATAGCCGGCCAGCCAGGCAGGCCGAGGTGAATCCAGCGCCTGTCGTCGTCACTCCAAGTCTTGCTGTCGGACAGGGACGACCCCATGCTGGCAAGGATCGCGCAGAGGACCTCCAGCTGCACCTCTCGCTGCTCCATGTCCTTTTCTCGGGCTGCCGCGGCGCCATCTTCAACGTAAACTTCCTGAGTGGATGGCGCAGAGAGGCGGAGCAATAAGAGAAAGAGGACGACGAGGAAGAGGAGGATGAGGAAGAGGTAGGAGAGAGAGAGAGAGAAGAAGATGATCGGGGGGAGGGGAGCGAGGAGGAGACGCATGAGAAGCGGTGGAAGAGGAGAGAGAGGTGCAGGACCCAGATGAGCAGGAGCGAAAGGAGAAAGCAAGGGGAGAGGAGCAGTAGAAGAGGGTCAACAAAAAAGAAGAGGGGGATGAGAAGGAGGAGGCGAAAGAGAAAGAGGAGGAGGAAACAGCGAGGAAGAAGGAAGAAAACGAGAAAACGGGACCAACAGGGGAAGCAACTTCCAAAAGCGCACGCCACGGGGGTAAAACATACCCATGGCGCGAACGAGGTGGCCTCAACCTGCGTTTTCCTCGTTCTCCTCCTCCTGTTCCTCCCCCTCCCCCATCCTTTCATCCTCTCCCTTCTCTCCCTGACTTTATCATATTCCTTGTCGCCACACTATTCCTCATCCTCCTCTTCCGGCCCCTCATCATGGTCTTCTTCTGCCTCTTCCTCCTCCTCGTCGTCTCCCTCGTCCTCCTGAAAATCCGCCGATCCGGCGTGTGAGTTACAAGGAGTCTCAGCTACAGCCTCGAGGCTGAGCCTCAGCCTCCGGGGGGGTTGCCGGGGTGGCTCTGCCGGGGAAGGGGGGGTGGGGGGGGGGGGGATGCGAGTTTCCGGCGGATGCGTTTTTTGACACCCCTCACAAGGATCGTGGCCTCCGAGGGGGGTCCGAACTCGAGTGCCACCCCTCCCGCACCAAGAGGCTCCGAAGAAGCCTCCAAGAGGCCCCAAGGGGCCCAAAAGAGGCCCCCAAGAAGCCCCAAGAGACTCCCAAAAGACCCCCAAGAGGCCCCCATTTGGCCCCAAGAGGCCCACGAGGCCCCCAAGAAGCCCCAAGAGGCCTCCAAGAGGCCCCCAGAGGTCCCGGCCAACCACGATATCCCTACCAGCGTCCATGAGGCCTCTGACCCACCACCCACGCACGGTGGTGGGATAGGCCGACGGCCACTGGATAAATGCGGAATGAAAGGGGGAAGGAAGGGAAAAGAGATGAGGGACGAGGGCGAAGGAGGATCACATCAGTCGGAGCGCCCCGGATCGGCGGCACTGGCCGAAGGCCACTACAATATGGTGGCCATGTTACCCGTGGGGGCAACTTGAACTTGAGCCAAACAGTCGCGGCCAACGACCAACACGCGCCACACGAATTCCTAAACAACGTTTTCTACAAACTCCACAACAATTCCTGATCACCGAATCAGAACGCTATAACCTAACACCCCCCCTTCGGCTGATAAGTGACATGTGGACACGGGCGAAATAAATCAGCAAGGGCGACAGGGAAATGAATGGGCTCGAAAAGAAGGCAGCGCAACGAAGCCAGGACTGCATCCTAGCAAATCAAAGTGTATAGGGAGCAATGGAAATAATGGCTCGCGCAAGCAAAACGTGCAGGCCTCCTAACGCGCGATACTTTAGTTCTAAGTGTCGCAGAGCACTGGTTCATGCAATATGCTTAATATATTACGCAGCAGTGCCCTTGAACAGCATAGACGAGAACATTCATCTAAACTGATCATGGGCCGAAGTGCCCATCAAAGTGGCTCGCGATGGTAACCCGAACATGGATTCGGATTTCGCCCCACAGCGGGTGCCAACTCGGGTCTTCCGTTGCCCAACTGTTGGCTGGTACCTCGCATATGCATGTACATGCTGTGTTCGATCACGTATTTAATGTTAAGCATATGGCAAGATTCTCATGAGTTCATGCTTTGATCATTTTGGCGCATCCTCGTCCCACATTCTCTTGTAATTAAAAAAAGGCAGATTTCGACGAGCCTGGCTTGCCCCAACTCGCCTCTGCTCGCAATGGCAACGGCTGCACTTGAATCGCTCTAGGAAGAAATGCCGAACTCCACTTCAAAGTCCTCGAGACTCACTTCCAGTCCTAACGCAACTGAGACACCCTGAACCATTATGTGAGACTCCGCGTCTCCAGAACATAACTCCATCATGCAGTGAGTAAACTTCCGCGACTTACTAAGGTGCGACAACAACATCACCGTACCTCCGCTTGTCAAGACCCGCTTGTTCTTCCAACATGTACAATCGGTGTCTGCCCACGCAATGAACTTCTTAGGGCGTCTCGAAACAAATAGTTGGTGCCCACACGTGATCTGGTTCTTGAAGTACTTGCACAAAGTTGCAAGGCTGTGCCATGCCCCTGGGGTTGGGCTGACATAGAACGTGCAAGTTCCTTGCGTGAAAACTGTAGATCCGAACGGCCCTGCGCTAGATAGTACGCCCTTGTCACCATAGTCTGGCATGCCATATAAGCGACGGGTCCTTGGACTCCCCCCTCGCAAGGTAGTCGTTGCACCTGGCAGCTCGCACTTCACCCTGTACTGTTCCAGGCCTAACTCTTTGACAAATATACCAGCATGCCTCCGACCCGCCCCATTACATAACCCGGTCTGGTTCCGCTTCACATTCCGACTCAGAGCCCTTATTGGTTTCGCCTCGTTTGGCCCAGGTCCACGTCTGCCCAGATTCGGACCAATCATGACCAACATCAATACCCAATCCAATAAAATCTCTCCCATGAACCGTTAGCCAGCTTCGCTTTGTCTGATGCTTAAACACGCATGGTGACGCCTTCCCGTTGTCGAAGCCACTGTCGCGTGCGAAGTCAATGTAGCAGTCTCGTAGTTGCTGACAGCGCCGCCGGTGCCGCACATTGACTTTCACAGTCTCCCACACATACCTGGCGCCCGATCTCCTTCTGATTCCATTATACAGATGTCCTTCTTGGCCTTGGCGTGACAATATGCGCGCCCAACATCGATTAACCAAAATTTGAGCCCTCCCTCACGCTCCCACCGGTTACACCCTATTCCCTCAGCAACTGCAACGGAGAACTGCAGTTATTGTGTTTACAATGGAAGGGCGGTTGCCAAAACATTATTTTCTTTGGAGCTGCATTAAACTTGCTGGGCCACCAGACGAGAGTGGCACTCTGGGTTGACCTTGCCACCCTTACTTATGTCATTCCATCTCGCGCCTATGGAAGCGTTGTCGGCGACAGCCCAGCATTCTTCCCTATTTGCTGTCGCAAAGACCTCGTAATTCCTGAACTGTTCCATGTCCTCCCCCCGGGCCTTTAACGTTCGCTTCCCGGGGCGTCGTCCCAGGCCCGCACTCGACCATCATCACGATGAACTACCCGTGTGGCATCCCTGGTTGGGCGTACTTTTCCAGCACACTCACACGCCTCACACGCTCCTGGGGTTCTTAACCATCCCTGATGTTGACACAATCCAATCCGCTGATGAGGCTGGATGTCCTGTGCAACTTGATAGGTGCAGCTAGTGACGACATTGCGAGCTCCTCCTGAACTGTCTCCTCCTCCCCTTTCCACTCGCTAAACCCCTGTCCTCAAAATATGACCAGTGTCCAAGTCGCGAGTAACTCGGCGCAGGCATGATCTCCACAGTGGCCCTGAAATTCCTGGGAGCATTAAGCGAAAAGTGCCATAATCCTTTTCTGGTCCAGGTTAACACAGGCCCATGTCCACTTCCAGTTTGCCCTTACATAACTGCGTTGGTGTCCATGCCCTCGCCTGCCTCACTACAATTCATTTTTGGGTCAAACGACCAGGAGAAGCACCCTAATCGATCGTGAGCCGTCATTTGGTTACCCAGCTCTTCTACTGTAGATCGACACAGTCAGTCCAGGTATACTTCTGATCTCTTCGTTCGGTCCCAGTTGAATCAATGTGTCGATGCTAGCCTTGACACTTCAAGCTGGTGGGCCCAATGCTAACGGGTCGGTGGCAACAGCATTTGAGTCCACTGGCTGGGCAGCCCTGGATAATCCTTGCCACGATCGGGAAGTACCGGCGCACTACCTTGCACATGCATTGGCCGAAACAAACAGACGTCCAGGTACAGGTGCTCAGGGAACTATGAAAAGGTAATCAGATAGCGTGGACTTCATGAGGAAGGCCTGCTGGAAATCAAAGGCCTACTGGAAATCAAAGGGGGCGAGTAGGGCAAGGGCGATGGAAGCTGAGGCAGACGTCGAAAACCTTCTGGACGCACCATCGAATTCTATGATATTGTCGCCGAATTAGCGTCCTTTGATGAACCCATGTTGGATTGGGCAGGCAAACTGGGACCACTTTTTTGCATACGATACTACAAAAGTCACAATCCCAGGGGTCGGAGGCAATCGAGGGTGCGGGTCGCACCAAATCTATTATCGGGGTCGTCGCCATGCGGCAAAAATATGCCAAGAAGGTAGTTGAATCCCAGCGGCAGTCTGCCGCCCTCGATGATATACTATAGCAGGACGTCGATCGCCTGTGAGTGTTGCCACGCCTGGTAGGGTAAACTATCGGAACCTGGAGCACTGCCGAACTGTCGCATCACATACCGTCGAAGCGGATCCTAGGTCGGAGGTGGGGAGGTCGCTCAGGTCGAAGTGGGAGGTGAATCGTTCGATAAATCGCAAACACACATCCCCAGTGGTCGGCAATCGGTTTCTTCGCAAACACACGTCCCCAGTGGTCGGCAATCGCTCGTGATATATCGGTCGGCGTCGTATGTTCCAGGCAGTTCGTCACAACCACACATAAGTGAACACACTTGTCGAACGGGGCCCACAATTGACCACGTTTGTGGAGACGTTGATTCGGGTACGGTGTTTCTGTCTCTGGCCTTCATCGGTCGTGTCGTGTAACTGTCGTTGTAAAGCTGGTTTCGCTCTGCTAAATCAGTCGTTTGTCAATCGCAGCCGTAAAAGTCGACAAGATATCGAATCCGTACCGCGCTCTCGCTGATTCCCTTCCGCAGCTCCCATCCCTTCCTCCTATGGGACGGCGAAAGGAAGAAGACAACATCGAGATTTACGTCGCGACGACATCGGCAACGAGGAGAGAGGACGACGACGGAGGAGGTCAAGGCAGACTTGGCGAACGAGGATGACGACGACGAGCACGATGCGGAGGACGAGGCTGAGCGTCCCTCCGCCCGGCCCATCCCAAAGCCAAGCATCTCCGAGGTGCCCCGTCCTGAGTCTTCTCGCTCAGCAGTGTGTGTATCCACTGCATCACACCTTCGCAGGGCACCAGCCCGCGGCTCACCAGGTCGCCTCGGGGTCCAGGCGCGGAACATCATATGTTCCCCATCACCATCACCATCACCATCACTAGCATCATCACAACCACCACCACTCACCACAACCGACCACCACCATCGTCATCATTGCCAACATCGTCATCAGTCACGTCTTGCTATGCAACCTGCTATCAGTCATCACCACAAGCATCCTCCTCCTTTTCATCATCAGCATCATCATCAGCAGCAGCAGCATCAGCAGCCGCACAATCAGCATCATCATTATCATCATCAGCATCATCATCAGCATCATCGTCGCCATCATCAGCATCATCATCTACTCATCGACATCGTCATCATGATCAGCATCACAATCAGCATCATCATCATCCTCAGCATCACCAACATCATCATACTCATCAGCATCATCATCAGCTATATCATCACCACCATCACCATCATCAGCATCATCAGCATCATCATCATCATCATCATCATCATCATCATCATCAGCATCGGCATCGCATCATCATCATCATCATCAGCATCATCATCATCATCATCATCATCATCATTATCATCATCCTCAGCCTCAGTCTCGTCCTCATCATCATCATCATCAGCATCATCAGCATCATCATCAGTATCAGCATCATCATCATCAGCATCATCATCATCATCATCATCATCATCATCATCATCGCTATCGTCGCCATCATCATCGTCATCATCATCAGCATCATCAGCATCATCGTCAGCATCAGCCTCATCATCAGCAACGTCCTCATCATCAACATCCACATCCTCATCATCATCAGCATCATCATCGCCATCATCATCATCATCATCAGCATCATCACCATCATCAGCATAATCATCATCAGCATCATCATCATCGTCATCATCATCATCATCATCATCATCAGCATCGGCATCGCATCATCATCATCATCATCATCATCATCATCATCATCATCATCATCATCATCATCGCTATCGTCGCCATCATCATCATCATCATCATCATCATCATCATCATCATCAGCATCATCATCAGCATCATCATCACCATCACCGTTGTCGTCATCATCAGCATCAGCAGCAGCATCACATTCACCACAATCATCATCAGCATTAGCAGCATCATAATCAGCATCATCAGCATCATCGTCAGCATCAGCCTCATCATCAGCATCGTCCTCATCATCAACATCCTCATCCTCATCATCATCAGCATCATCATCGCCATCATCATCATCATCGTCATCATCAGCATCATCAGCATCATCATCGCTATCGTCGCCATCATCATCGTCATCATCATCAGCATCATCATCATCAGCATCATCATCACCATCACCGTTGTCGTCATCATCAGCATCAGCAGCAGCATCACATTCACCACAATCATCATCAGCATTAGCAGCATCATAATCAGCATCATCAGCATCATCGTCAGCATCAGCCTCATCATCAGCATCGTCCTCATCATCAACATCCTCATCCTCATCATCATCAGCATCATCATCGCCATCATCATCATCATCATCAGCATCATCATCATCAGCAGCATCATCAACAGCATCATCAGAATCATCATCATCACCACCACCACCATCATCATCATCAGATCATCGTCGTCGTCCTCATCACCGTCCACCACCGCCTCCTCCTCCTCCTCCGCAGGCCATTGAAAACGTAATCCGTGGCTTCTGTGAGGGACCCCGCCACTGGGTGCAGTGGTTTGGGGGGAAGCCAGAAGGCAGAGCTGCAGACTGAATACTCCAGAAGCTCCGAGGAGGCTCTCTGGCCGCCACACGAGCGGCAGATAAGGCGGACCACGATTTGGCTGGACAGTCCATGCCACCAGAGCGCCCACACACCCGTCGTTGCCTACCGACAGCCTCGGACGGCTGATTGCTAAAAAGAACGGGGAGGACCCCTCGTCTGTCACGCGAAACCTGATTGGACAAGAACGGGAAGCGCCGCTTTATTCCAATGGGCGTTTTGGGAGAAGAAGAAACAGAAGAAGAAGAAGAAGAAAAGGAAGGCGAGGGCGACAAGGAGGAGATGACGAGAACGACGTGGAAAACATGAGGATAGCGAGGAGGAGCATGAGGACAACGAAGAGGAAGAGAAGCACAAGGACGAGCACGAAGAGAACGAGGGCGAGTACGAGAAGGAATGCGGAGGACGATGACGACGACGACGACGACAACGGAGGACAGTAAGAGGCAATTGGAGACCTTATCAGGTTACCCTGGGGGCTCCTGGCGCCGCGCGGGATTGTCTTGGGGCCTGTTGGGAGCTTCTTGGAGGCCTCTTGGGTCCTCTTGCGGGCTTCTGGTGTATTCTTGGGCTGTCTGGGCGCTTCGTGGGGTTCTTTAGGAACTTTCTTGGGCCGTCTCGGCGCCATCTTGGTCCGTCTTTGGGTTTTCTCTTCCCGTTTGGGGGCCTCCTCGGGCGTTCCTGGGAGTATCTTGGGGCCCTCTTGGGCCGTCTTGGGCCGTCTTGGGCCTTGGGGTTCTTGTGAGCTGTCTGGGTGCCTCCTGGAGCGCTCTTGGGGGTCTCTTGGGGTCCTCTTGGGGCGCTCTTGGGGCCCTCCGGGGCGTCTTTTGGGCCGTTCGAAAGCCCTCCAGGAGCGATTCCAAGACGATGTCGATTCGGAGTCCCCTCCGGGGCCAATTTTGTGTGGACATCTCGAGCGAAACGGCCGTTTTTCAGAAACCTTTCTTGACATGAACGGGAAGCGCGTGAAAGCGACAGGCTTTGCAAGAACGTGAAACATCATCCCGATAAAATGCTATGCAGACGAACTCTCCTCACTTGCGTTCCCAATGTCAGGAGGAGTTTACTCTCCGCGCGAGTTCAGACGAGGCGGCGCACCACCCGCGGGTGTATCTCGGCATTATCCGTCTCCAGACCCCCGACCTCCCCACTCGCGTTCCCTAAGTCGACTTTGCTTTCCACGCAAATTCAGACGAGGCGCACCCCCCGCTGGCGCATCTCGGCATGATCTGTGTCCAGGCCCCTAACCTCCCCATTCGCGTTCCCCATATGTCAGGTCGAGTTTACTTTCCGCGCGACTTCAGACAAGGCGCACCCCCCCTGGCGCATCTCGGCATTATCCGTGTCCAAACCCCCAACCTCCCCACTCGCGTTCCCCCGGATCAGGTGGTGTTTACTTTCTGCGCGAGCTCAGACGAGGCGCAACCCCCGCTGGCGCATCTCGGCATTATCCGTCTCCAGACCCCCGCCCTCCCCACTTGCGTGCCCACATGTCAGGTCGAGTTTACTTTCCGCACGAGTTCAGACGAGGCGCACCTCCAACTGGCGCAGCGTTCCCCTATGTCAGGTCGAGTTTACTTTCCGCGCGAGTTCAGACGAAGTGCACCTCCCGCTGGCGCATCTACGATGACGACGACGACGATGACGACGGCGACGACGACGGCATGATGACGACGACACTGACGCCTCTTTTTTGAGCACACGACGAATTCGCAAGCTCCCTGGACATCTCCGTTGTTCGAGGGTGTGTCGGGCTAGAGCTACATACTTAACATAAGAAGTCTAATCACAGCTCTCTCGGCATCTATAGTGCTTGAGGATGTCTCAGGCGGAACGCCTGTTTTGGGATATCGGCGAATGTCGCGAAAGGTTTCAAGATCCCCAGTGTGTCGAAGATGTATGCAGCAAGAGCTTCATGCTTTGAATAACGCGCCCTAAAGTAGATCCCCCTAGATCCCCATGCTGTGGGGATGTCTCGGGCGACATGGCGATTCTGGAAAACCTGTGCTTGACATGAACGGGAAGCGCGTGAAAGCGACGAACCTTGCAAGAACGTGCATTATCCTACTCGCGTTCCCCTGTGTCAGGTCGAGTTTACTTCTGGCACGAGTTCAGACGAGGCGCACCTCCCGCTGGCGCATCTCGGCGCGATCCGTCTCCAGACCCCCAAACTCCCCATTCGCGTTCCCCTGTGTCAGGTCGCGTTCTACTTCCCGCGCGAGTTCAGACGAGGCGCACACCCCGCTGGCACATCTCGGCACTATCCGTTTCCAAACCCCCAACCTCCCCACCGCCGCGTTCCCCAAATCGACTGGGTTTCCCGCACCCCCCGTTGGAGAATCTCGGCACGATCCGTGTACAGGCCCCCAACCTCCCCTATGTCAGGTCGAGTTATGCTCCCCGCGGCTTCAGACGAAGCGCACCCCCCGCTGGCGCATCTCGGCACGATCCGTGTCCAGACCCCCAACCTCCCCACTCGCGCTCCCCCAGGCCAAGTCGAATATTTTCCGTGCGAGTTCCGCCGAGGCGCACCCCCCGTTGGCGCATCTCGGCACTATCCGTCTCCAGACCCGCCACCCCCTCCTCGCGTTCCCGCATGTCACATCGAGTTTCATTTCCCGCGCGAGCTCAAACGAGGCGCACCTCCCGCTGTCGCATCTCGGCACGATCCGTCTCCGGACCCGCAATCCCCCCCCCATTTCCAACGCGTTCCCCATATGCCAAGTCGAGTTTTATCTCCCGCGCGACTTCAGACGAGGCTCACCTCCCGACAAAGACGACAAAGACAACAAAGACGACGACGACGCCAGCAGCGGCGACTGCGACGGCGATGATGACGACGATGACGATGACGACGACCCTGACGACGACGACAATGACGAGGAGGAGGACCACGACAACGACGATGACGACGACAACGACGACGACGACAACAACAACGACGACGACGACGATGTCAAGTTCGATGATGTACCAGCGAAACGCATAGTTGCGGGCGAAATGGTTGGAAGAAAAAAAAATGTTTGTTTGAAGGGTTGTCCCTCTTGAGTCATCTTGGTGGCCCTCCACCTAATGCCTCCAGCATGTGTCGTAGGACGGCGGATTGCACATCGCATGGTTTATAGGATTTCCCAGGCGGGAGCCTCATTTTTTGAGACCGCGACAAATTGGCAAATTCCCTGGACATTTCCGTTTTCCGAGGATGTGTCGGGCGAGGGCTACATGTTTTACATATGATTCTAAATCACAGCTCAGTATGCATTGATTGTGTCGAGGATGTCTCGGGCGGAGCGCCCATGTGTAGAGATTGGCGAATCCCGCGAATGATTTCAAGCTCTCCATGATTCGATGATGTATGCAGCGAGGGTTTCATTTTTAACATTAAGCGCCCTGAAAGGGATCTTCCGATATATGACTGTTGTGAGGATGCCTCGGGCGAAATGACAAGTCTGGGTAACGTTTTGGACATGAGCGGGAAGCGCGTGAAAGCAACGAATGTTGCAAAACTGTGCAACATCATCACGATACCATGCCATCGCATCTGGGCATTACCCGTCTCCTGACCCCATCTCCCCAGTCGAATTCCCATATGTCAAGTCGAGTTGACTTTCCGCGCGGATTCAGCAGAAACGCACCTCCCACTGGCGCGTCTCGGCGCTATCCACTCCCAGACCCCCAACCTGCCCACTCGCGTTCCCCTTTATGTCAGGTCGAGATTATTTTCCGCGCGAGTTCAGACGAGGCGCACCCCCCGCTGGCACATCTCGGGATTTTCCGTCTCCAATGTGGGTCCCCCTATGTCTGGTCGAGTTTACTTCCCGCGCGAGTTCAGACGAGGCGCACCTCCCGCTGGCGCACCTACGATGACGACAACGACGATGACGACGGCGACGGCGACGGCGATGATGACGACGACGGTGACGACGGCGACGACAGTGACGACAACGACAACGACGAGGACGAGGACGACGACACCGACGACGACGACGACGACGACGACAACCACGACGACGACAAGACAACACAAGCACCCATGGAGTCCTTAGCAGTTTACTCTCACCATGGCACAGGAACTCCGGGCAGGCTGCTACACAACCGACGTACCAGAGCGGATCAGGTCACGCTCTGCAACACACAGCCCCAGCTAGAGGTCCCAGCTCATCAAGCGCCAAACTTGCCATTCTTTTCCCCCGCCGACCGGACACACACACCCGCCTCCCGCCGCGACCGTTTCCTCTGATGGCTGGCTGCCTTGGCAGCAACAAAACTGGCATGGACGGCAGCTCAGCGGATTCATATCCCTGAGCTGCAGATGTACCGCTCGATCTGCGCACAAACTCACCGGTTAATAAACCACGCTCAATGAGCATGGCCAACATTTCACTCCTGGCAAGCTCACCCGGCACATGCGTCAGAAAAGAGCGGCTGCCTATCGCGCCACTGCCGCTGCTGTTGGCTCTACTGGCCCTCCAGCATACGCGACGCCTCCCTCTCCAGCGGTCCCCCTCGGTTGGGCGCCGCCCACGTGCTCGTCCATTTCCGCCTCTATCACCGTAGACAGCGTCTCGTAGAGCCTCGTCCCCGCTGGATTGCGCCGATCGATGCTCAGGGAAGTCGTCGCCATCGCCGCCTCGCCGTCCTTCTTCCTCTGGAGCCTCAAGCGGCTGCGCTGCACGATGCGGCCGATGTGCTGGAGGGACAACTTGCTGATGTGGTTGTTGGGGCGGTCAAGCAGCTCCGTCACCGCCTCCGTCACGCCCTTGCTCTCGTGCTGGCCCAGCGCTGCGCAATAGATGACGACGGCCATGAACACGTGTAGATGTGGCGATCCACGGCCTCGGAAGTCTGGCTTGCCTCCAGCCTGCGCCTCCTGCTTCATCTCATTGCTGCGCTCTTTGTACACCTGCCCCGCGCGTACCACAGCTTGGACGCATCCCTTATCTGCGGGAACGAACCATTTGTGAAAAACGAACGCGCTCAGATCGGCCACCTCCCTGCAAGTGATCAACAAGAGCTTGGCACACGCCTCCATGATTCCTTTGTGCCCCGTGCCGCCTTTCTTCGCCCGCCTCCCTCCTTCCACGGCGTTTTTGGCTGTGCATCAGAAATATAGATCGCAAGGTCTGGCCACACAGGCACCATGACGCAGCGTCGGGCAGATGTGTTTGAAGGCAGAACACAACATCCCTCTGAAAATCAGCAGCAGTACAACACTATTATGTTATGCCGAGTCCTACTGAACCGCTTTCAATAGTTATGGCCGCTTGTGACGTAAGGCGACCCAAAATACTATTCAAGCCCCCCCCCAAGTACGATGAGTGAGACCAGATCGAAATCCTCACTGCGGCCATTATCACCTTCGTGTTCCCCAAAAGTTTTCAAATGCAACTCGGGGAACAAACAGGCCAGTATACAGAACAAATTGCAGTCACAACGTTCCGACACATAGGCTCCTCTGGAAAAGCAGGAGGCCTCCAAGATCGCACCACGATGGCCCAAGAGGCCCACAAAACGGCCCCAAGGGGGCCTCAACGGTTACGAAGAGACCATACAGGACCTCGTAGTCCACGAAAGATTCCACGAAGACGGCCCGAGATGGCCTCCAAGACTGGCCCAAGACGCCTCCAGGACGGCCAATATGACCCAAGATGACCTCCGAGATGCGTCCAAGATGGTCAAGATGGCCCCAAGAGGCCCCAAGACAACCCAAAAATGGCCTCTAAGCCAGTCCCAAGATGCCTCCAAGACCGCAAAGATGGCCCAATAGAACCCTAGAGTAGCCCAAGAGGCTCCCAAGAGGACTCCTCATCCCTTCTCCTTCTTTCTCCCTCACCTCCCCTTCCTTCTCCCCCACCGCGTTCCCCGAACGCTTTCCAAACCGACTCGGGAAACATATGGTCCGATAGCTTGGCAGGCCCCTTGCCACAACGTTCGGTCACACAGGCGATTCCGAAAGGGCAGGGGGCGGTGGTGATTCGCCGTAGGCGTCTTCGATGACGCCGACGTCTCAACATGCGCTGATGATTCTTGTCCGCCCTCGCATGTTCCCAGATGTGCCAAGGTAGCGCCGAGACGCACCGACGGGATTCTGATATATCCCATTCTGATAGAGAAGGGGCCGGCGGCAGGGGGCGAAGCCTTTACGGAGAAAACTGCGATGCCCAATTTGGGCCGCGGTGCGGGACCGACGCTGCTGCCTAAATGGCCCCACCTGCCGCGCACGCGACCCGAAAGTGGCTCCCAACGCGGCCAATGCTGCCACGTCAATTACCACGTACGCGGCCGAGGCTGCCGCACACGCAACCTGGGCTGCCGGGTCGATGCTAGTCTGTCGAATTCTCTGGGGCTGACCCCTCCCGCTCGAATCTCACACGGCAGAGAGGCCATGAGTCGAGGGTCTGTTGAGGTGGAAGTGTCTTCTTGCGTCAGCCACCTATGCAGGGCCAGTCAGAAAACGGGTGACCGTTGTATGCCACGTCCAGCGGGAGCCTCTGTCATACAAGAGGTCCCCTTCCCGAGAGAGAGAGAGAGAGGGGGGAGAGAAAGAGGAATATCCGACCAAGGCCAGTCATGACGATGAGGGGGACCCCAGCAGCTGAAGTCTCGGCGGCCGAGAACAAACAATGACAACATCAACCCACATCTGTCGACATTCCTCTTGCCTCGTCCGCGTCCTCCTTGTCCTCCTCATCCTCACCGTAGCCTCCCTTCATGATCCCACTCCTCATCATACTCTCCGCACAGGCAGGGCCTCCAAATTTGACCATGCCAACCATCTTCTCCTTATGCTTCGCCTTTCTGTCCATCAATTCGTCCTGTCGGAGGGAGAAGTGCGAAAGGCCTGGAGGAGGACCCCAGTCGTGCTCGTACGCTTACCCCTTCGGTAGAAATGCTGGTCAGTCGAGCCGTCCTCGTTGAATCGCTCTTCTCTTGCACGCAAGAGCCCGCAATCGTCGGCACGGGCCGACTACTAAAAGCTAAACGTGACTACGTACCCAACTGTAACGATCCACCACCGCACTCTGCATCGGAAAGTATCACTGAAGCACGTCGCACACCTACACCCTGACGCGCCTCTGCGAGGAGCGGCCAGAAGCTCCACGCAGCTCCTGGCGTCTTCGCGCCACGGAGTCCCCACGAAAAAGCGCGTGCACCCACCCTAGTGGGGCGAGAAGGGGCAGGAACAACCAACATCGAATCGGGAAATTGAATCGGGTCGGAACGTGCATCAAATCGGGCCGCATCGGCATTCAATCGAAATCGAATCGGATTCAGCGCTACAAGCATCAAGCTGCGTCGGATCGCACGAAAATCGGAATCGAATCGAATCGGGCCGGCTGGAGCCAATGTCGAAAGGACTCAATCGAATCGAAATGGACCCTGAGGGGGGGTAGTCGGCACACTCACGAACGGATGGCCGAACACCTTCCTCATCCTCCTCCCCGCTCCTCCTCCTCCACATCCTCCTCCTACTCCAGCTCCTCCTCCCCACTCCTCCATCATCCCCGCCTGGCCTCACCAGGCCTGGAGTCGGCGCCCGAGGCCTCCCAGGCACGTAGCCCCCGCACACCGCATCCCCTCGTGCTTGGTCGCGCCACCCGAGCTGATGTTGCACTGCTGTCGGCAGGCTTCGTGGTGCCGGGAAGAGGCCCTCCAGTAGTGACGAGTGTGAATGCGAAGGCGACCTGCATGCGAAGGCGACCTGCGTGTAGAGCCGCGAGGGCGATGCAGGATGAGACAGGAGCGACCAGAGACCGACTGCACGGCATCACCAGGGGACGTTCGGGCACAGCTGGCATCAGCAAAGTCGCCATCTGGCTCCGCTCAGATGAGTCGGCGTGTGCTGCATCGCCCCCCAATACCAACGGCACCCAAAAGATTGCGCGCCACCACCTTTCCGACGTGGCGGTCAGCTCCGCAGCGCAACACCGCAGACAGCCAGACAGACCGCAGCACCACACGAGCCGACCTGCTGTAGACGAGCCTCCTCCCCATCCTTTCCCTTTGACGCATGTCGTGAGGCCAAATGTTACAGCGGGAGAGAAGAAGCGAAAAAGGATGTGGAACAAGCGGAGGACGATTGCGCGAGGAGGACACGGACGGGGGGAGGCGGGGAGGGGGAGGAGAAGGACGAGGAGGAAGAACTGAGGAACGGAGGAACAGGAGAAGCATGGGAGGAGGAGGGCAAGGATTATGAAAACGCCGTGCATGTCAGAGGTGGGGGAGAAGACGCCGTGCACGTCAGAGGTGCATGGGCAGGAAAAGTAAGCGCCGACGATACCGCCGCCAGGCGCTGTGAAACTATGAAGCCCCCCGGCGTCGCCAGTTCCACGGGCAGGCGGTCTCTAAAAATTTGTTCGTGCAAGCCCTTCTCGCCAGGAGGCCCCATGGTGGACAACCCGGGAGAGCAACAGCAGCACGGGGCAGAGGAAGGGGCGACTCCCGGGGACCAGGAAGAACCCGGAGCCAGGGGAAGGCGGAGGGCGAGCGACTGGGAACGGCAGCCGAGGAGGGCGGAGGGCGAGACCCGGGCGACAGCCCGAGAGACGAGCGGGAGGCAGAGCAGGCAGTGGAACGACGCATGACGGCGGAAGGGGGGGGGAGAACGACACCACCTGGGGGGGGGGCGGCATTCAGGCTTTGGCATGTCATCCCTAGGGCACAAGACAAAATTGACATATGAGAACCCATGCCGGGTGAGTGGCCGTAAAAGACGGGGAAGGGGAGGGGAGGCGGGGGAGAGGCAAAGCTTATGTTAAGAAGAAATGGCGGGCAGCTGCCTGCCACATGCCTGGTGGGCCTTGCCACAACCCGCGCAGAGCATTCGTATCTCCAGCTACCCTGACGGCCAAATCGTGGGATTCCGCTGCCACGTGTTTCTGGGCCTTCCCCTCTTGCGGGGGCCGCCCCTTCCTGACAAAGCGAAGGAGTGTGATTGAAACACGCAGAGCCGAACGGGGCTGTCGTTCGGAAGAACAGCGATCCGCCCCAGCAAGCACACTTGCCTGTACGCAAGCGTGGTGCTTGAGTTTACGGCGTTTGCACGTCTGCAACACGGTCTCGTTGGAGACGCGGCTGTAATATGAATGGCCGATCCCAGCCACCCTGCGCAGACACCGCGCTTAAAATGCGTCTAGCTTGTTGCTTTCAGAAACGTTAAGCCACAGCGCGCGGAGGCAATACCTTAACTTAGCTACTACGCGGGCTTCGAAAATAGCAGCCTTTTTTATGCAGAGGCAACCGCGCGTGCTTCCAGATGCTGCAGCGTGTGTAAAATCTCTGTACGCCATGCCAATTATTCTGCTCAGTTCGGAGCGGCTGGAGCCCGAGGAATCCAAGAGGCCTCCGAGGTACGCCATGCTGTCCTTCTGCGGGGGGATCTGCGCTCCGTCGGGCCTGCGACTGTCAACGTCGCAGCGCACGGACAAGGCTTCCAACTTGCCCAAGTGAAAGCCAGTCCGTAATGAAATGTTGATAGCGGGCTTCCCTGAGATATCCCAAACTCCTGCGGATGCTATTCCGACGTCGCTCCGGCGTCGCGGACCCGGAAGGAGCGATCCGTGTAGATCGACTGCACGACCGCGGCAAAGAAGCTGGGCACGCCGAACCGCACAAGCGCTCGCACCAGGGCGTCCGGCGAGACGCTGTCGAAGCCCTTCGCCCAGTCCAAAGCCAGGAAAACGAGCTTGCCCGATTTCGTATCCCAGGCGTCTTCGATCAGTCTCCTCGCAATGAACAGGTCCTCAGTTGCCCCGCAGCCTGACCGAAATCCAAACTGGGTGTTCAAGATCCGAGACTCCGCTCCAGCACGCTTTAGCCTGTTGAGTAATACCGATGCGTTAAGTTTGTAGCCAATTGGAAGCGAGGAGATAGGCCGGTAGTTTGCGCATTGCGCTGGGTCTCCTTTCTTGAAAATTGCTGTCACGACGGCCTGGTGCCACGCGTCCAGCACCGACTTCTCCTCCCAGCGTCGGGTACACAGCATGGTCGCCCATTCGCACTCAGGCGTGCCTTCCTGGCATACTGCTTTCCAAAATTCGGCCGGGATGCCATCTTCACCAGCGGCGCGGTTGTGCTTTAGCCCGCGGCCCGCCTGGCATACTTCCGACTGGGTGACGGGGTCGGTGGGGATGTCGAGCACGAGGCCCAAGTTGTCGAGGTTATCCGCAACCGTTGTCGGGCGCACTGCGCACTGCACCTTGGAGAAATACTCCGCCAAAGTCTCAGCTCTCTGGTCCCCGTCCACGAGCTGGTCGTTGGCATTCTTCATTCTCCCCTGTGAAAAGAGGGGTGGAAGGAGGAAGAGTAGGAGGGTCATGAGGCGAAGGAGGAGTAAGCAGAGGCACAGGAGGAGGGAGGAGGGAGGAGGATAGGGCGGAGGAAGATGAGGACGAGGGGGACGTGGTGTGGAGAAGGGTTAAGAGGACAAGGAGGAGGCGGACGAACGAGCACGAGAAGGGAGGACAAGGAGACAGAGGAGGATGGGACGGAGGAGGAAAAGGAGGCATAGGATGGGAAAGAGAGAAAGAGGATGACAAGGATGTAGACTATATGGAGGGAGGAAAAAGAAGAGGTATCGGAGGGGAGGGAGCAAAGAAACAGCATTGGCATCGCGGCACCGTCCTCCGGCAGATTTTCTGGAAAATCTGGAGCTTTAAGAACTACTGTCTGGAAAATGACCTGGCACTTCTCCCACACACAAGACTTCACATCCAGCCCTGGCCGCTGCTTGCCCACGAAATCTAGAAGCTTCTGGCACAAGTCGGTGTACATCTCTGTGTACTGGTGCTGCCTGGCAGCGCTCTTATGTTTCATTCCTCCCAACAGCTGAAAACTCCGATGGGCAATACTCTCGCCGCAGTCCCGAACGTCACCTGTCACGCCCGTCCCAAAATGTAACACCCCCAAGGCACTGTCCCAGTGCGGCAGGCTCCAGCCAGATCGAGCTGCCAGTGTACATACCAAGCGTCAGAGCTTACAGCCATTCCATCCTGCACCGTTGCAGCCCCTCTTCTCTTCCCCCTGCATCTCGTCACTCCTCCTCGACACCGTGCCGATGCCTCTGGCTCTCGAGCTCCCCGCCTCGCCCAGCGGCTGTGGAGGACTACAGCGAAGAGGAGGAAACAGCGCGGGGAGGGACAAACTAGGTGCGCTCGTGCTACATCTGACATCAGATCATCGCTCCCATCCCTTCCCATTGCGCTTACTTTCTTTCTATCCGCACACGCGTGTCATAGGCGACCTGGAACTCCCAAAAAGCCCCCATCGTGTCATGCGCAATCGGAGGAGGAGGAGGAGCACGATAAGGACGAAGAGCAGAGATCAGGGGCCGGGCGCAGCGGGAAGGAGGGGGACTTGCGGCCAGAAAGCAGCCCGGCCACCGAATGGCACCCAGAAGGAACACCACGTTCTGGCATGTCCCGCCTCTTGTTCCCTAGAGGCTCACACGACGGCCCAAAGAGGCCCCCAGGACACGCAGAAGGAGCTCCCAAGACACTCCAAGAGGATCCATCATGTACCCCCCGAACGGCCCACAAAGCTCCCAAGCGGCCCCCATGACTGACTAAGACGCGTCGGAGAGACTCCTGACTACTGCCGGAGGCGACTCCACCGCTCCCAAAGAGGCCACCAGGAGGAGGCCACATCCCATAGAATCACAAGATGCCGCCGAGATGCTCCGACGACGGCCGCGGATGGCTCCACGAGGCTGGCGACAGCCTCCAGAGCTGTGACCCTCGGGAGACTCCTGGGAAAGGGTGCCACCCTTCTCTTCAGCATGGGGCGCCACTCTCATACTGTTCCTCCTCCCCGGACTTGTTCACAGCAAGGCGGACCGCTGCACAGAAATACACACCGTGCTGCACCGGAGGCGGCAGGAGCCCACAGTACCAGAGCATCACTCACGGACGAGCCAGGCCGAAACAGGAAATGGCAGAGCAGAAAAGAGCAGAGGAGCGAGAAATCCGCAATTCTGTCCCCGCCAACTGCGGACATGTAGATGGCATTTGGAAGACAAAACGAAAACGAATCGCAGGAAAGGCAGGTGGAGGGCGAGCGAGGAGGCAGCGAGTGCCAAAATTACGCTACCGAGGAACCCCACATTCTTATATTATGTGTGGATTGATGATCGCTGAAATGAAACATGCGAGAATGATGCTGGTGGCCGTTGCCCCGACGATACCGCTGGTGACGCCGGCCAAGCCTTGGGAGCCTGAGTACCCGAAGGGCGTCGAGGAACTGCTACCCCTGCCACGCTTTCCGAGCCTGGACCGTATAGAGACCTAGCTCAGGGACCGCGTCGAGAAACTGCCACCCCTGCCACACTTCCCGAGCATGGACCGTATAGAGACCGCGCTCAGAGACCACCCCCTGCGCACTCCCTCTGGTGTCGAAAAACCGCCACCCCTGCAACACTTTCCGAGCCTGGACCGTATAAAGACCGCGCTCAGAACCCCCCCTTGCGCAACCCTCTGGTGTCAAGAAACTGCCACCCCTGCCGCACTTTCCGAGCCTGCACCGGATAGAGACCGCGCTAAGAGACCACCCCCTGCGCACCCCTCTGGTCGCCCTACACTCTGAGAGAACCCAACCCCTGCGCACCCCCTCTGGAGTCGAGACGGTGCCACGCCTACTATCTTCTGGACGAGAGGCGCGCGTAGCGGCCGCGCTCAGCGACCACCCCCTGCGCATCCCCTCTGGTGTCGAACAAGTGCCACGCCAGCTATGCCCTGGGCGAGAGGCGCGCGTAGCGGGAGAGCTCACGGACCACCCCCTGCGCACCCCCTCTGGTGTCGAGAAAGTGCCACGCCTGCGGTGCTTGGACGAGAGGCGCGCATAGCGGCCGCGGTGAGAGACCACCCCCTGCGCACCCCCTATGGTGTCGAGAAAGTGCCACGTCTGCGGTGCTTGGACGAGAGGCGCGCATAGCGGCCGCGGTGAGAGACCACCCCCTGCGCACCCCCTCTGGTGTCGAGAAAACGACACGCCTGCTATGCCTTTGACGAGAGGCGCGCATAGCGGCGGTGAGAAACCACCCCCTTACGCACCCCCTTATGGTGTCGAGAAAGTACCACGCCTGCGGTGCCTGGACGGGAGGCGCGCGTAACGGCCGCGGTGGGAGACCACCCCATGCGCACCCCCTCTGGTGTCGAGGTAATGCCACGCCTTCCCCCCTCTGGTGTCGAGAAAACGCCACGCCTGCTATGCCTTTGGCGAGAGGCGCGCATAGCGGCCGCGGTGAGAAACCACCCCCTCACGCACCCCCTATCGTGTCGAGAAAGTACCACGCCTGCGGTGCCTGGACGGGAGGCGCGCATTGGGGCCGCGGAGAGAGACCACCCCCTGCGCACCCCCTCTGGTGTCGAGAAAGTGCCACGCCTACGGTGCCTGGACGAGAGGCGCGCAGAGGGGCCGCGGAGAGAGACCACCCCCTGCGCACCCCCTATGGTGTCGAGAAAGTGCCACGCCTGCGGCGCTTGGACGTGAGGCGCACATAGTGGCCGCGGTGAGAGACCACCCCCTGCGCACCCCCTCTGGTGTCGAAAAAATGCCGCGCCTGCTGTGCCTGGACGAGAGGCGCGCATAACGGCCGCGGTGAGAGACCACCACCTGCGCACCGCACCCCCGATGGCGTCGAGAAAGTGCAACGCCTGCGGTACCTGGGCGAGAGGCGCGCATTGCGGCCGCGGTGAGAGACCACCCCCTGCGCAACCCCTCTGGTGTCGAGAAAGTGCCACGCCTGCGGTGCCTGGGCGAGAGGCGCGCATTGGGGCCGCGGAGAGAGACCACCCCCTGCGAACCCCCTCTGGTGTCGAGAAAGTGCCACGCCTGCGAAGCCCTGGACGAGAGGCGCGCATAGCGGCCGCGGTGAGAGACCACCCCCTGCGCACCCCTTTATGGTGTCAATAAAATGCAACGCCCGCGGTGCCAGGACGAGAGGAGCGCATAGCGGCCGCGGTGAGAGACAACCCCCTGCGCACCGCACATGCCGCGCTGGCTGTGCCCGGACGAGAGGCGCGCATAGCGGCCGCGGTGAGAGACCACCCCCTGCGCACCCCCTCTGGTGTCGAGAAAGTGCCACGCCTACTGTGCCTGGACGAGAGGCGCGCATAGCGGCCGCGGTGAGAGACCACCCCCTGCGCACCCCCTATGGTGTCGAGAAAGTGCCACGACTGCTATGCCCTGGACGAGAGGCGCGCATAGCGGCCGCGGTGAGAGACCACCCCCTTGCGCACCCCTTCTGGTGTCGAGAAAGTGCCACGCCTGCTAGGCCATGCGACATTGGCGCGTGTAGGGACCGCGGTGAGAGACCACCCCCTGCGCACCCCTTCTGGTGTCGAGAAAGTGCCACGCCTGCCGTGCCCTGCGCCATGGCCCGCATAGAGCCTCCTGCCATGCACTGCGAATCCTACACGCACGTCTTGTATATGACGTGTCATGTGTATGTGTATGATGCGTGCGCGGCGGTATCGGGACGTGTGCCTCATGTAGGTGCCCAGTATGTTGTGCATACGTCTTGGGTGTATGATGCGGTGAACACGCCAGGCGTGTCTCACGCGTGTCTCATGCACGTGCCATGCATGTGTTGCGCGTAGGTGAAGGGAGGAAGGAAGTAGAGGAAGGGAGGAGGGAGGAGGGAAGGTGAGGAGACGCGGGTGCGACGCGGCAGAGAAGAAAACCAGAACCCCACGAAACATGTGGGGAAAAACACTGAAGGCGTCAATGGCGGGAACATGGAGGCCAATGAAGAATATGAAAACGAGAAGGAGGAGAAGACCGAACCACTCGAGTAATCGCACTCATTTGGATCGCCGACTGCGCACACCCGGATGTCCACAACCATATGGGAAATAGTTACACATGTCGCAATATCGACAAAACCATATCGGAACTCGGAACGAGTGGCACTCCACCCGACCACGCCTCATCAGACCCCACGCGACCAGTCAGGATCCCAGACTGGTTTACCCCCATGTGGGGGTTAGCCTGAGCCCTCTGCAGGATGATCGTGGATGACGCACTCCCTCCGTTCCTCTTCCTGGCGAAGCTGGTCGCGCACACAGCAGAGCTGGGCCGCTGGCACCGCCACTGATTCAGCCCCAAGACGGGCCCGCACCCACGGAGGACAAATTCTGATATAGCGAATCGACGTCCTCCCGTCCCAGACCGGCTGGCTGACTTTCGCCGCCTTCGGCGGTATCATCAGCATACAAAAAAATTAAACGACTTGCTAACTACATTCTCCCACCTCACTCCTGCAGCCTGCACAATTCTTCGCTCCAACCCCCACCCGCCCACACTCCCCTTACCCGAGAGGGCCCCCACCCCCGTCACCAAGGGAGACCCCCGAGCGTTGGGTTATGGGCCCAGCTCCCCAACTAGGAAAAATGCCACCTCCCGGACACAGCCTCTTGGAGAACTGGCCCCGTGGCATTCCGCCTCTGGGTGTAGGACCCAAGTATAAACTAAAGCACGTAAGGAGAATCGCCAGAAGGGGGGCGGCCCGGCAGGGGCGGCAAGGAAGGAGAGGAAGAAAAACAGTAGGCGTCGGGCGGGAATCGGTCGTGGTGGTCGCCCTGGTGGTCGTGGAAGTCGGCGTCGTGGTGGTGGTGGTGGTGGTGGTGGTGGTGGTGGTGGTGGTGGTGGTGGTGGTGGTGGTGGTGGTGGTGGTGGTTGCCGCCGGCGCTGTGGTGGTTCTGGTGGTTGTCGTGGTGCTGTCGTGCTGGTGATGGTCGTGGACGTCGCGCTGTCGGTGGTTGTGGTGGTTGTCGTGCCCGTGATGGTCGTGGACGT